ATGGGGAGGGGAGGGGAGAAATAGAGGAGGAAGGGGTTGGCCTCGGCCTCACACTGCTCCACCAAGACTGCGGTAGTCTTTAAGATTCTCGTTCCTTTTGGGTGCCATCGCCGGGCTTGCGCCGGGCCATACCGCCACTAGCAAGCACCCGGGAGATTGTTGCACGAGTCCGTCATGAGGCTATTCTCTCGCTGACGGTTCGAAACCCCCTGGCAAGAGAGACTCTCTTTTCTTATCCTGAAGGAGACGTTGTGGGTCCTCGAGCGAGAGTTATCGGCCAGACTGCCCATTGTGTCGTGCTCCGCTACACTAAAGAAACAATTGTCTCGAGAAAGAATGGCGTTTTTTTTTTTACAGCCATGTCCTCATGGGTTTGTGTACTTGAAAATATATGGGAATGACAAATCTGTGATGGTGTGCTTGTAAAAGTATTTAGCGACGATAGTTCTTTGTTTTCATACAGTGTACCCACGCACCGTCGCAGGCAATCGCGCGCCTTGAACAGCACGTGTGCCAGGGTTGTCGTTTTTCGGTCGTGATCGAAACGCGTGCGATTAAAAAGGCGGCCCCATTCAAATCTGCAGCAACGACGACGTTCTTGCACTCGCAAATGTGTGACTCCACAAACGGTGCACGCCCTTGGAAATGGTTAAGTGGGAGCACGAAACAAAAACAAAGGTAGGACTTGGTGCTAAATTTTGAGAGCCTTTCGCTAAGGCACGAAAGTGTTCAAAAGCACTACAATTTAGCACCTTGGGGCAATTTAGCGCATTTCCAGGGGATTGACAATATTTTCAGTGCCTCTCTAAGGTCATTAGCACCCTAGGTAGGGTGCTGTTGAGTCCTATCTTTGTTTTTTCCATTGAGTAGCCGGGTGCCGCACATGTGCAGGTGCACAACTTTCTCGTTCAGCACTAGACGGGCCGCCATCGCCATCATAGTTTGCACACCCGACAGTGATGCTACAATCGTTTTGTTGTTACCTGTTATATTGAGACTTTCGCAGCACGAGCTTTGGTTTCTGTTTTCGTTGATGATTGTCATGACAGTATTATGAATATTCGCTGAGGTTGGCATCACTCCCGGTCGAGACTAGTCGAGACTAGACACAAAGCAAAGCGGTTCAGACACCCGAGTGTTTCTATGCAGTTCTGTAGCCGTATTTAGCCGTGCCACGTAGTCAAAAAGACTCAAGTTTTTTTTCGTCCCCGCGGGTAACTTGAAAAAAGAGTGAGAAATTTTGTGTAGCAAATTGTAAATAAAAGTTGTCGCTCTGTTTCCGGCCCCCTCTGCGCGCGCCCGGGGCGCCTCTGCCCTGGGCTCTGCTGCGGGGGGCGCGCTTAGTGTGTAGGCTTGGGGGCGCCCATAGCGGCCCGCCCGGCGCCCTCCGGGGAAGGACCACCACAGCTTGACGAACAAATTGTAGAGTCCCTCCCGGGGAAGTTGTTTTTTTTTGGGCGCGCGTATTCCCCCCCGCAGAGCGACCGCCGCGCTGGGTGTCGGTCTGTTTATGGTTAATTAACGCAGCGATATTTTGCGATCGTTAGGGTTGAAGGTCCTGGAAAGATAAAGAAAATTTCTGAAATTTTTCGGGAAAAAAAGGAAAATTTTTAGGAAAATAAGGAAAATTTCCCAGACCCCGGTAATTTTTTTTCGGAAACATTTTGGAAATTTTCCGAAAATTTTTGGAATTTTTGGAAATTTTCAACTTTAGCGATCGTGTTTTGCACGGTTAGCAAAAGCACGGGGCTGCCGTTTGTGAGGGGGGTTGGGCGCGCACAAAAGGCGTTTCCCACGAACGTAGAGAGTTCCTTCGGTCTAAGCATAGTCATAGTCGTTTAGAGTCGGACAGGCTTTTCTTTCGTCCCGCTACAGCCCGGGTCAGGGGAGGGAGGAGGAAGGGGTGGGCGTGGGCGACCACGACGTGGGGGTGTGTGGTTGGAGGAGGTGAGAGGAGGGGGGCGAGGGTCAGCGCTGCTGTCCGACCAGCTTGAGGCGAGGGCCAGACGTAGCTCTAAAAGCACGCCTGTCTAGGATCCTTAAGATAGACTACATGATACGTAGCAGGTCGGGAAATACATATTCTGCAACGACGAGATTTTCTGTAGGCTCTACGCCTTTGTATCATGACACTCATTTAATTTATTTTTAATATTTGTGATATAAGTTGTTCGTTTGTAATAATGTAGTGTGACTTTTTGTGAATGTAATGTGTACCAAAAAATATATCAATAAATGGTTAAGATTACTCGGCCAGGACTATCTCATTTAAATGAAACGCCCCCTTTTTTATGTACTTTTGAGTTGGAGGTAAAGGTCATCGGCGGACCGGTCACACCGGGCGACAGCGACAGATAAGACTTCCTCGACGGGGAAGCGCGCCTCATCGAGCAATCTGACAAGGAGAAGAGGGGGAAG